CTGAATAGCCTCTGTCTTTGACAGCTCACGTAAAACGTGGTGTTTCTTGTGTGGAACCTTGGGTAGTAGCGAGCTCCTCTGTTGGTCCTTGGTTGCCTCTGTTCTTCTGCAGATGGCCTTCGTATACTTAGATGAGTACACGGTGTGAGTTTCAATAGCTGGAACAGTTCTCGTGAGGAGTTGAAGGAGTTTTAGAGCCCTGTGTCGTTACCGGGATTTTTGTCTTTCACTTCACAATAGCGGTGGGTCACTCGGATCAACCTATCTCACTCAATATCGGGAGTTAGAAGCGTGCACTGATACTCAGAGTATCCTTGACGTGTTTCGCAACTTTCTCTCTATTGGTGTCTTGGCTTGCAGAGCTCCGTTCGGACGATAGCTTGATCGGTAGATGTTGCCTGTCGCTCACCGTGATATGATGGATCGAAATCTGGCGCGATGACACGATGACGTAATCCTCTTCAACTCGATGAATAACAGCCGGATTTCCTTGCTTCCAGCGCGTAACTGGTGTGTCTTCGTGTGCTCTTCAACGTGCACTGCTTGTACTGCGATAACTCCGGCCGGAAGTTACAGCGTACCTTGTAGTGGACTGTCGACAATGGGAATGAGAATCTTTCCCGCGCACGCACCTCTTTCCTGTTAGAGGCTTTTCGATGCTCTGATAGTGTGGCTAGAGGCTGATTCTTCGCACCTCTTCTCTGTTGCAGGTGTTAACTCAAAGCTTTCACTTGAAGTCAATACACTTTGACTTGATTTACCTTGGTATCAATCTCGAGGTCGGTAGTGGTAACTCGAGATGGCCTTTTGCTTTTCAGTGTTGTTTGCTAGTAATACTGCAGCTTATTGGGGAGTAATTTGGTTTTAGATTAAGCTGAAAAGCAAAAGTGAGGATTTTCTGGTGGTGCATAGCAATTCTTGTGATTGAATTGGATATAAGGACCCCCGTAACACTTTAGACCTAAAACTCCCTTGGTTCCTTGCATGATGAATTTGCATGCGAACCGGACTAGATGATTAATACACAAGTCAATAGTAAAGAGGTGTCAGGTATATTTCCTCCAACACTACCAAACGCCAAGGCCACACTTCCAAATCCCGTACCGAACGATCCGGATCCGGACGGCAAAAGTCCAAAAAATCCAACAGGCCACCACCACTGGAGTCTCCACGAGCACCTGGCAAACCATTATCCAAGCAGGTTCATTCTGGGAAGGAAAAGCGTCGCACATCCCATCTTGATAGTCCAACAATGAGTGGAAAAGGAGGATCAAAGAAGAAAGGGGTCACTCCCCGGTCGAGCAACCGTCAGAGGAAGTCTCGTATGATTGGTAGAGACAAAGATGACCATGACAAGCATGTGGAGTCTCTGAAAGATAGTGAGAAGGTCACTTACTACATTAGCTTGTACGAGGAGGAGAAAAAGAAGAATGAGGAAGCCGACAAGGAGGAGCCTGATGAGGAATGGGAACCTGACAACTTCGATCTGGAAGAGGCCCTTGGCAACAACACCAAGGGGAGTAATGATTATATAGCAGCTTCCGGCTGTTTCAAGAAGAATACCTGGATTGACAAGAAGTTTAGCAGCGAGAAATCGGAGGAAGCCATTGCCTATCTTGCCTGGATCGACTGGGCAAGAAGGCCTTCTTGTTGACCGGCGACCGTAAGAAGGACAAGGGTAAGTTCTCGCTACTCGATCGGGAACCTTTTGGTTGTCTAATTGCCCAGTGCACCTGACCAATCTGGAACCGTTGTTCTTCTCTTTCTTTACAGTGATCAAGGAAAGGCGCGCCGCATGGGTTGCCCATTGGAAAGATGCTATCACGGCAATCATGAACGAGCAACGCAACTTCGTCGTGAACCAGATGTACATCAAGACCGAGGACTTTTGTGCTGCACATGGACTCGACAAGATGCCAACTCCGGAACAGCTCAAAGCTGTGGTGATGCGGGAGGTTCCTCTTGAAGACCTTGCCCAAGATGCCAGTGCACAAGAAAAGGCAGCGCGTGAGGAAATCAAGCTGCATTCTTCCCTTTACACGGAGAAGCTTTTGCCATGTGTTGCTGGTGCATCCAGCTGGTTTAGGGAGTCAATCCGCCACAACCAGTTGATTAGTGTGGCCAAGTGGAAGGGAAAGCTGTGTGTTCCTCCCGGATCTGAGGCAATGACCCTCCTCATCTACGAGAGCTCCTACACCAGATGGAACCTCTGCTTCCAGCCTGGGAACAATGACTGTGGCAGAAAGAAATGGACTGCCCCCAAGAGCAGCAAGGACTCGGAGACAAAAAAGTTTGCTACCAAGTACTCAAACTCCAAGGTGGGCAATGCCAAGTATGGAGGTTGGTCCAATGCAGGCCGAAGGCGCTACAATGCCCTCAAGCTTGAGGTTCAGGAAGCCCGTGCCAAGCCCAATGCCCAAGATGCAGAACAACAAATGCTGAAATGGATGTTGAAATATTGTGGAAAGGAAAACCACGAGCCCGATCCGGATGCCGTGAACAAGAAAAAGAAGAAGGGCAAGCATTCCTACGATGATCTGGTGGACTGTGACTAGAGTCCTTCCAGGTTGTCAATTGGCAGCCAAGGCCCCATTGAATGGGAAGCCCTTGGCCGCCTTTTGATTCCCCTTGGTGCTTTTTGGCAGGGCTTTTGTGAGAAAGTTGTTGCCCAGTTCTCTCTGTTCGGAAGCCTTCCGGTGCTTTTTCGGTACCCATTGCCTCCCTTTCCTTTTGCTGATCTTGTTAATTTGGTCGGTGGTGGTTGCCCATCTGGTAGCCTTTTTCACCCCTTTTCACCCCTTTCACCATGAGGATCTTTTACGGTGATCCTTTTTTTTGGTGACTCAGTACTGCTCTATTTGGATTAGCGTTAACAGTCTAGCCTTTTGATATTCCCACTCTTATCCTAGTCTTATCTCGTTTTAGCTGGTTTTAGTTGAAACTTGGCCACTTGCAGGTCCCGTTTTGGTAGGTAACGCCTCTGCGATTAATAGCCCCTCTGTGCAGGATCTATTGTTGTTGGGAATGCATTCTTCATGTTCTGACCATCCAAAAACGGATGGCGATGTGACTTCTTTTTAGTAGACAATGACTTAACGGTTGGATACACCAATGGGCACAAAGGGTAACATACCACGTACTGAAGTTGTTTCCCCTGCCAGTAGTAGATTGTAAAGTACGTCACTTCCCAACCTGGAGCACCGGTTGCCTAATTGGAACCTTGGACTTGGTTCGGAAGGAGAGGTTGGGATGTGCTTTCCCAAACGAGACCTGAGGTCTCGTTTTCAGAATTACCTACAATTGCGCTTCTTAGATGCAGTTGTGATCCTGAAGATGGTTGAAGGGCAATGCGAGGCAGTTGTGGTCCTGGAGAATGTTGAAGGGCAATGTGTGGGCAGTTGACCAACAGCAAGGCAATTGGTTAGTCTTGGGGCAATGCTAGTCTTGGGGGCAATGTGCAAGTGTCAATGACTGTGACCCCAGACTGATGACTGTCCAAGGCTACCTGTTTGCTGTGAGACTGGTACTGATAAAAGGTCATTGTTGGTCATTCTACCCTGTTTCCAATGCTGTAAAATCAGAAACACAACAAACAAAATCCCCATTTTTGAGCTCACAATTTCAAAGGTAAATTGTCTTAAAACAACAAATAGCAAGATACAATACCCTTTACTGCTTTCAGTAACAAAATTTGAATCTCCTCAAGTGCTTCCATGAAATTCCAAGTAGAAGTCTTCCGACAACGTGGCTCTTTGGGTCCAGCCAAAACTGAAGAAATCTAAGGCCAAAAGTAGGCACAACGCAATCAATTTCTAGCCATTTCTGGTAGTGTCTTGACGTCTGAAGTTGGGTGCATACACCCCAACGTGAAATTTTGTGGCTTGGTTTACTCTCAAAAGAGCCAAAAGGCACTCTTCTGGACCTAACTCGCGATTTTGGGCGGATTCTTCACATTATCCCACAGAAATGGGAAATGGGTATCTCCACAACTACCAGTCCAAATTTGATGCTTCTTGAAGTCATCCCCTTCCAGTATACGTATAAACGAAATGATAGTAGAAAGAATGATGGCCAGTAGAAGTGGTCTTGATGCCCAACAAGTTAGGATGATGAATTGGCACCAAAACGGCCCCTTTTCATAAAGCTTAAGCTAGCAACTAGCAGATAGATGTCACAACCAAGCCAACGGTACGGCTGAAAAGAGGATAAGAAGTAGATAGATGCAGAATATTCATTTGTTGTCTAGCTATAGATGGTTACTGATATATTGACGAAGCAAATTGTCATGATGATTGAGGTGGTGGTGTTGATTTTTTGTGAAAAAGTGCTAGTAGTTTACCATAGTTCTCTAAGTCCCAAAAAACCCAGTGACACTGGTTGTGCAGTTTCAGAGGCAATCGGTTAACTCCAGCTGTTCAACCGCAACTTCAACCACAACGCCAGCTGGCACAACTGCAACTGCCACTTAAATTCGACTCTAATGCTTCAAACATTTGAAACTCTACCCTAAAACCTGGATTCCCCTAATGTGTTATTTGAGGCACGCTCCTGAAGTAGTGGCCATAACAATCTGACTTCCAGTCTATACAAAAGGGTGGCATGCTACCAGCTGGGAAACAGGTAAATCTAAGACAGGTAAAGTCCAGCCGTAGAAAATGTACTGGGCCTACGCAAAAGAACCTGTCCAAAGGTCCTCCGGGATTGAATTTGAAAATTTAATTCACGATCTTTAAAGCATGACTCAGAGTTGACTTTTCAGGACCAAGCATTAACAGTTTTGAAAAAGAAATAAGGTTTTCACTCTTTGACACAGGTAAAGTTGACCTGTCTTCCAGCTGGTAGCATGTGTTAAAAAAACTATCTAACAAAAATTCATTTTTCTTTTAAAATAACATGTAAGTGTGGTAATGACAATAGTTTGTTTGGGTGAATTCACAAGGACATATACATTGATGCAAGTGTGATGGTCATGAAGGGGGTAGCTGCCCACATCTTAGGAGCTAGCAAGTCCCACAGTGAGCACTAGCGAGCTTCGTGAAAATACTGACGTAACAATCCTCCCCAACTGTACAGCAGGATACTTCGTATTCGTCAGCATCCCTCGGCTCAATGGGACCCATGTGAGCGAGGATTTCAGTGCTGTCTCTTCCGTAGCAAACACCATTGGAGCCTGACATGGACCAAGTAATTGTGCTGGAATATTCACCATCCGCACAGTCCCCTACCTCCACCAAGGCTGTGCCAACAAAAATATCATTGGGATATCTGGTGTCTGCACCAGTGTACAGATTTAGTTCATATTCGCCAGGCCCAGAAGTCACCAACATCCAACCATTCTCGCCTGCAACGTTGACATGCTTAACCACTGCTTCACCAGATTCACTCAGCCCAGCAATCGTTGCTCCTGCAGAAACCTCCATGTGGCAGTCTTGTGCGTTACCAAGAAGCAAGGAAGACTCAGCCTCTCCTTTCACCACATGAGAGGTTGCTTTCAGCGCTGCATTGGCGCGCAGTCCTCTCCTCCCCGGCGATGGACAGCTAAAACAGAATTCTATATGGCTGATGGCACGTTCACTTCCTGGTTCACCCCCCGTTGTGAGGTAGTAGGTTTGCCCTGCAGAAATATCATATCTGCGGCCTCCGTTGTTGCCTCCCTTGATAATTACTGTACCTGAAACGCTGGAGTAAAGGTCGACACCAAAAAATTCACCGGAATTTCCATCCTCATTTTGACAATCAAACCTGTAAACACCCAAGCCTGTAGTGCTGCATCCAGGATAATCTGATAAATCAATCTCTGGAACAATGCTCAAATCAGTCTCAAACGAAGTGTCTGAGGTTCTATCAACACAACCAGGGTCTTCTTGTTTCCAACCAAAAGTATATCCAATATCTGTGCACTTATCGCTCTGGCCAATCTGTGTTCCTGGCAAGTCAGCAGGTGGCAAAGGGGCCTCTGTTGGGGTTCCGGTAGGAGTCCCCGTTGGAGTACCTGTAGGAGTCCCGGTAGGAGTCCCGGTAGGAGTCCCGGTAGGAGTCCCGGTTGGTGTTCCAGTTGGAGTTCCTGTTGGAGTTCCTGTTGGAGTTCCAGTTGGAGTTCCGGTTGGAGTTCCGGTTGGGGTTCCTGTGGGTGTCCCTGTTGGGGTCCCGGTTGGGGTTCCTGTGGGTGTCCCCGTTGGGGTGCCTGTTGGAGTTCCGGTTGGAGTTCCAGTGGGAGTTCCGGTGGGGGTTCCAGTGGGGGTTCCTATTGGCGCCTGTGTTGGTCCCGGTGTGGGATTCGGTGAAGGTGCTGGTGTGGGATTCGGTGTTGGAGCTGGTGTTGGCTCAGGTGTTGGTGCTGGTGTTGGCTTGGGGGAAGGTGCCGGTGTGGGGTTGGGTGTAGGTCCAGGGGTCGGAGCAGCCGGGACCGTACAGAAAAAACAGAACTCAATGTGTTCAATCAGTTCCCCATTACCAGGATTTAAGCCCTGGAACAAGTCTCCTTCTGTCAAGTTGTACAGCATGCCACTTTTGCCTCCCTTGACATAAACTGCCACATCCACTGAAGTTTCAAGGTTGACATAAGCAAACTCCGTTCTTGGATCATTTGGGTCGACTGGTACCTGCCCATTGTGGCAAGTAACCCTAAAATTGCCACGGTTCTGAAGCTGACAGTTCACCATTCCAGGCAACACCGGGGTCAGCATGAGTGAGGTGAAGTCGACTGGGGCCACTAGAGGGTCTGATGTCACACAGCCCGGGTTTTGCTGCTTATAGCCAAAGTGATAACCCATATTCTTGCAGTCAGGGTGTTCACTGATGGGTGTTGGACCTGGGGTTGGTGCTGAAGTTGGTATTGGAGTTGGTGCTAGAGTAGGGTTTGTTGTTGGTTTGCTTGTTGGTTCTGCAGATGGAGCAGGAGTTGGTACTGGCGTTGGACCTGAAGTTGGAGTGGCTGTTGGTTTACCCGTGGGAGCAGGAGTGGGATTTGCACTTCCCTTGTGCGAGGGTCCCGGAGTGGGTGATCCTGTGGGGCTGGCAGTCGCGGCCTCAACTGTTGGTCTTACACTAGGAACCGGCGTGGGGGAAAGTGTGGGGGTTGGGCTGGGTGCAGGAGTGGGAGACTGCGTTTTCGGCTGAGGTGACGTTCCCATGGTTGGTCCAGGGGTTGGGCTGGCCGATGGGTGTTGTGTAGGGCCATCTGTAGGGCCAGGCGACGGCTCAGGTGTAGGGGAACTTGTTGGAGCAGGGGTTGGTTCAGGGGTAGGAGAACTTGTTGGTGCAGGTGTTGGTGCGGGTGTGCCGCTAGGTGCTGTGGGGTTTGAATTGCCATCGCTGGATGGTTGAGGGGTTGGTCCTGGCGTAGGGCTCGCTGATGGGAATCCCGTGGGACCAGGTGTTGGGCCCGGGCTTGGCTCAGGCGTTGGGGTCCCAGTTGTTCGAGTGGTTGGGCTTGGTGTCGGGCCCGGTGTAGGCTTGCTTGTTGCTTCAGATGAGGGTGCAGGGCTGGGAACAGGAGTGGGAGCGGTAGTTGGGCCTGGACTGGGTGCTGGGGTCGGGGAATTGGTGGTATCAGGGCAGGAGAAACAGAACTCAATATGACTGATGGCATGATTGCTTCCTGTAGTAAGATAATAGGATTGACCAGCCAAAATTTCAAACAGGCGGCCACCATCAGGCCCTCCCTTGACAATAACGGCTCCAGTCACAGTCGAAGTCAAACGGACAGCACGATATTGCACAAAATTGTTCTCAACCCCATCCGGTTCCAGACACTGGAAGGTGTAGCTTCCAAGACCGTTTGTAGAGGCTCCACATCCTTGTGGCAGTTGCCCCAGGCCAGGCACCAGCTCTAGCTTATTTTCAAAGAGATCACTTTCATCCACACAACCAGGGTTGTCCTGTTTCCAACCAAATTCATACTCTATGAAATCTTCACACTTGGAATCTTGGTCAATTGGAGTTCCAATTCTGGTTGGCTGAGGTGTTGTACCTGGTGTTGGTTCCGGCGTCGGTTGTAATGTGGCTGTAACAGATGGAATTGGGGTGGGCCATTGTGTCTTGGCACCTGTTGGCCCAGGAGTTGGGCTAGGAGTCGGAGCTTCTGTTGGCAGTGATGTAGGGTGATGGGTGGGTTCTGCTGTTAGTCCTGGTGTGGGACTGCCAGTGGGAACAGCTGTGGGACCCCTGGACGGACCCTGGGTTGGACTGCCTGTTGGATTGGGTGTAGGGCCAGGCGTAGGACCTTGAGTGGGACTGCCAGTAGGACTAGGAGTTACCTTCGGTGTAGGACTTGAAGTCGGAGTAGTGGATGGACTCGGGGTTGGGCCCATTGTAGGTCCAGGTGTTGGTGGGGAAGTCGGTTTTGATGAAGGCGACAATGTAGGGTTTGCTGTAGGGCTAGAAGAAGGGCCAGGTGTCGGAACAGGAGTACCACCAGGCGTTGGTGCCATGGTTGGACCAGGGGTTGGTTCGACAGAAGGGTGGGGTGTTGGACCAGATGTGGGTCCTGGTGTTGGCTCACTGGTTGGACGAGGAGTTTCTCCCGAAGAAGGACCTGGGGTCGGACCTTGAGTGGGGTTGGGTGTTGGTCCTTGTGTGGGATTTGCGGTAACACCCAAAGTTGGACCTAGTGTGGGTCCGGGTGATGGGCCTGATGTTGGCCCAGAAGTGGGTCCAGGTGTGTCTGCTGGTGTGGGTCCAGGTGTGGGGCTGCTTGTTGGACCTGCAGTTGGCCCTGGTGTTGGGTCTGATGTTGGAGACACAGTGGGGCCAGGCGAAGGACCAGGCGTTGGAACAGATGTATCACCTGGTGTTGCTAATAGAGTTGGACCAGGGGTTGGTTCTACAGAAGGGTGGGGTGTAGGACCAGACGTGGGCCCCGGTGTTGCCTCATGGGTAGGACCTGGAGTTGGTCCCGAAGAAGGACCTGGTGTCGGACCTTGTGTGGGGTGGGGTGTTGGGCCGTGTGTGGGACTTGGCGTTGGTCCCAATGTGGGATTTGCCGTAACACCCAAAGTTGGACCTGGTGTGGGTCCAGGTGATGGGCCTGATGTTGGCCCAGAAGTGGGTCCAGGTGTTTCTGCTGGCGTGGGTCCAGGCGTGGGGCTACTTGTTGGACCTACAGTTGGCCCTGGCGTTGGGTCTGATGTTGTCATTGGAGTTGGTCCAATTGTGGGTCCAGATGTAGGGCCAGGAGTTGGAGCAGCCGTACCTCCTTGCGTTGGTCCAACGGTTGGTCCAGATGTTGGTCCTTTCGTTGGCCCTGGAGTAGGCCCAGGCGTGCCAGCTGTAGTGGGTCCGGGTGTGGGACTACTAGTTGGACCAGTAGTTGGCCCTGGTGTTGGCTCTAATGTAGTGCCTGGACTGGGTCCAACTGTGGGGCCGGATGAGGGTCCAGCTGTGGGGCCGGGAGTTGGACCAACAGTTGGACTGCCAGTGAGTCCACTCGTTGGTCCAGATGTGGGGCCCGGAGTAGGACCTTGCGATGGACCCGGAGTGGGTCCTGGAGTGCCTACTGGTGTGGGCCCTGATGTTGGACCAACAGTGGGACCCAAAGTTGGCCTTGGTGTGGGCTCTGATGTGGATCCCCTGGTTGGACCAGACGTTGGTCCTGCGGTGGGGCCTGGCGTTGGTCCAAGCGTAGGTCCTGGTGTGAGTGTTGTGGGGGCAGTTGTTGGGCCAGGGGAGGGACCTACGGTGGGGCCAGGGGAAGGACCGGGAGTTGGACCAGGTGTGCCACCAGATGTCGGCCCTTGTGTTGGAGCTGGTGTGGGTCCTGGTGTGGGCCCAGGAGTTGGTTCAGAGGTTGGTCCGGAGGTGGGTCCGGAGGTTGGACCGGGAGTGGGGCCTGTGGTTAGACCTGGGGTTGGTCCGGCTGTAGGTCCTGATGTTGGTTTTCCACTTGGTGCTGGTGTAGGCCCAGCAGTAGGCCCTGGCGATGGTCCGGCCGTAGGTCCTGCTGTTGGCCCAGGAGTCGGTCCAGGTGTGCCTGCTGGGGTAGGCCCTTGTGTGGGACCAACAGTAGGGCCCTGGGTTGGCCCTGGAGTTGGCTCCGATGTTAGATACCCTGGTCGACCAGTGTAGCCCAGGAGTAGTCTGCTGTTGGTCCAGGTCGGTCCAGGGTGCCGCTGGGGTAGGCCCTGTGTGGGCAACAGTAGGGCCCTTGGTTGGCCCTGGAGTGGCTCCGATGTAGACCCTGGTCGGACCAGGTGTAGGCCCAGAGTAAGGTCCTGCTGTTGGTCCAGGTGTCGGTCCAGGTGTGCCTGCTGGGGTAGGCCCTTGTGTGGGACCAACAGTAGGGCCTTGGGTTGGCCCTGGAGTTGGCTCCGATGTAGGGCACCCATGTGGTCGGACCCAGGTGTAGGCCCAGGAGTAGGTCCTGCGTCGGTCCAGCCGTAGGTCCTGCTGTTGGTCCAGGTGTCGGTCCAGGTGTGCCTGCTGGGGTAGGCCCTTGTGTGGGACAACAGTAGGGCCCTGGGTTGGCCTGGAGTTGGCTCCGATGTAGGTACCCTGGTCGGACCAGGTGTAGGCCAGGAGTAGGTCCCTGCGTCGTCAGCCGTAGTCCTGTGTGCCAGGTTCGGTCCAGGTGTGCCTGCTGGGGTAGGCCCTTGGTGTGGGACCAACAGTAGGGCCCTGGGTTGGCCCTGGAGTTGGCTCCGATGTAGGTACCCTGGTCGGACCAGGTGTAGGCCCAGGAGTAGGTCCTGCTGTTGGTCCAGGTGTCGTCCAGGTGTGCCTGCTGGGGTAGGCCCTTTGTGTGGGACCACAGTAGGGCCCTTGGGTTGGCCCTGGAGTTGGCTCCGATGTAGGTACCCTGGCGGACCAGGTGTAGGCCCTAGGGAGTAGTCCTGCAGTCGGTCCGGCCGTAGGTCCTGCTGTTGGTCCAGGTAGTCAGGTCCAGGTGTGCCTCTGGGTGGGCCCTTGTGTGGGCCCAACAGTAGGCGGCCTGCCGTTGGCCGCTGGTTTGTTGGATTAAGCCCGGTCGGACCAGGTGAGGTCCGGGAGTAGGTCCTGCGTTGGTCCAAGGTTGGTCCTGGTGTGAGTGTTGGGGGCGTTGTTGGGCCAGGGGAGGGCTACGTGGGACCAGGGGAAGGACCGGGAGTAGGACCAGGTGTGTCACCAGATGTCGGCCCTTGTGTTGGGGCTGGTGTGGGTCCAGGTGTGGCCCAGGAGTTGGTTCATAGGTTGGTCCGGAGGTTGGTCCTGTGGTTGGACCGGGAGTGGGCCTGTGGTTGGACCTGGGGTTGGTCCGGCTGTTGGTCCTGATGTTGGTTTTCCACTTGGTGCTGGTGTAGGCCCAGCAGTAGGTCCTGGCGATGGTCCTGGTGTAGGCCCTGCGTAGGTCCTGGCGATGGTCCAGGCTGTTTGGACCCGGCCGTTGGTCCAGGGTAGGGCCTGGTGTGTTCTGCTGGTGTAGGCCTGGTGTGACCATCTTATGCTTGGGGGCCATGTTCCGTGTAGGGTAGTGGCCTGGTGTGTTCTCACTGTTGGCGTGGATGTGTGTCCAGGAGTAGGGACCTGATGTTGGTCCAATGGAGTTGGACGGCTTGTGTGGTTGTTTGCGTAGGCCCTGGTGTGGGACCCAAAAGTGGGGCCTGGCGTTGGCCTGTCTGATGTTGTTCTGTGGTAGACGGTGAAGTCAGGAGGACCGGCAGTTGGGCCGGTAGATGGCCAGGAGTAGGATCCAGGTAGCGCTGGTTGGACGTCGTTGGATAGGACCCTTAGAGTGTAGGTGCCTGGTTGGCCCTGGCATAGGACCGGATGTTGGCCTGGAGTTGGTCCGCGGGGTATAAGAACATTGTGGGGTCCAGATGTTGTGCCAGGTGTAGGACCCATGTGGTTCCAGAGAAGTTGCCAGCGGAGTTGGGCGCCTCAGAGGGCAAATACGATTCTGGTGTCACCTTTAGAGGTGTCGGGCCTTGGGGTGGGACCCGCGGTTGGCCCAGGGGTTGGTTCAGAGGTTGGTCCTGAGGTGGACCAGGGGTGGGTCCCTCAGAGTTGGACCAGTGAGTTGGCCATGGTGGGGGCTGAGATGGACTGCGGTGTTGGCTGTCCACATGGGTGCAGGGGTTGGCCACAGGAGTTTGTCTGGCCTGTTGAAGGTTTTGGTGAAGGTCCTGCTGCGTTGGACCTTTCGTTGGTCCAGGCGTTG